GGCGCGAGGCCCGGCGCGCGAGCCCCCGGGGGCGGGTAAAACCCGGTTGCTGCTGCCCCTGCCCCTCCCTTTCCTCCCTATCCCCCATTCTTATTCTTTCCTCCTTTTTCAGTCCCTCCCCCTTTTTACAATCTCATTCGTTTCTTTATTTCTTTTTTTAGGGGGCCCCGTCTGCCTTTCGAGGGGCGCAGCAGGAGCAGCGGGCGCCCCTCACCCCGCGTCACGCACGCACCTTCTGCATCCCAACAGCTCCGGGCCCCGCTGCACCCCACAGGCCCTTCCCCCTTGGAGAAGACCCTCCTCAGGAGCCCCTGGCCCGCTGCACCCCCTTTTCTTTCCCACTCCGTCCCCCCGGGCCTCAACTGCCCCCTCGCAGCCCCCCAGCTCGCGCCGCGGGCCCTACCCGACCTCCGCACCTTCTGCATCTCGGCCTTGCATTCGCTGGCCCCTTCCAGGCCCCTTCTGCTCAAAACCCCCCTTCCTCCTCCATAGTCCCACTTTGGGGCACCCAGATTTGTCCCGTTTTAGGATCTGCCAGCAAAACTCCAAATCTCTCCTCCCTTCCTTGACGTGCCCCTCCCCCTCCTTTAAGAAACTTCCTTTAGCGCCAAAAAAAGAAAATAAATCCAGTTTTTTTTTTTTTTTTCATCCATTCAGGATCACTTTCCAGCAAATTTTTTTTCTTCACACCTGGAGTGCCCCTTTTTGGAATATCTTTTCACTTAGAACAAACCAACTCATTCCTTCCAGTTTCTCTCTCGTCTAATGTTTATATTTTCAGTCCTCCTCCCCTACCCCCAACTGTCCAGCAAATATCCTTCTTTTATCACCAGTTCTGCCCTAATTAAGCTTCTCCCAGTAAAATTCTCTAGGTCTCTTCCCAGGGGGGAGAAATAAGGAAAGAAGGAACAATTATTTCCTCTTATCAAGAAAACCTTTCCTCCCCACTCACATCTCCCCTGTTGATACTGCTTTCTGCCTTCTTCCAAAAATTGTTACTCTTCTCCAATTTCACATCTGTGTTCTTGTTTCTTTGCGACCCAAGTCCTGACTGCTTCTTCCTTCCCACCACCTGCTTTCAGGGCAAAAGAAATTGAGAGTGTCCTGCATTTACCACTCAGCGTTCCAGGAGGACATATCCAATGGTCTGCTTGTCACCTGAACCCCCTCCCTGTGGGGCCTAAACGGGGGTCCTCCTGTTCCCTGGAGATTCACTTACTTGCTCTCCTGGTGAGTTTCCTTCCTTTGCACATGTGCTTTGTTGGATAGATGTCTTTCTTTTTCAAGAGGGTTTCTAAGCAATCCCAAACTCCGTACTAATGGTGAGATCATAGAAGTTACTGCTTTGGAGAAGTCAAATAGGGAAAAGGGCTGTTTATTGTGCATGTTGACCAGTTAGGAGGAGTGCAGACAGATTGATGTGTGTTTCTTTATTGACATTTATTGCAAAAAACGTTTTTCCTTCCCTAGCTCAGGGTAGCAACTCCGATACTTACAGGTAAGGCACAGGTAAACGGAAGAAGTAAGGATTGTTGTGAACCAAAGATTGTATGTCCCATTCAAGTGATGCCAGTCAGTGGAAATGCCAGGCCAGTGTTGCCAGAACTTTTGATTTCTTTGAGAAAAGGCCAGAAAACTATCCTTAGTTTTTGGTTTATTCTGATTTTTGTTTGTTTGTTTTGTTTTTTTTGAGACGGAGTCTTGCTCTGTCGCCCAGGCTGGATTGCAGTGGTTGATCTCAGCTCACTGCAACCTCCACCTCCTGGGTTCAAGCAATTCTCTGCCTCAGCCTCCCTAGTAGCTGGGATTACAGGCACCTGCCACCAGGCCCAGCTCATTTTTTTTATATTTTTAGTAGAGACAGGGTTTCACTATGTTGGCCAGGCTGGTCTTGAACTCCCGACCTTGTGATCCACCCACCTCGGCCTCCCAAAGTTCTGGGATTACAGGCATGAGCCACCGCGCCTGCCTGAAACCTTCTGATTTTTAAATGCTAGTAACACATTTGGTAATTTAAGAATTAAGACAGTGTAGGCCGGGCACAGTGGCTCATGCCTATAATCCCAGCACTTTGGGAGGCGGAGGCGGGCAGATCAGCTGAGGTCAGGAGTTTGAAACCAGCCCTGGCCAACATGGTTAAACCCTGTCTCTACTAAAAATACAAAATAGTAGTTGGGTGTGGTGGCAGGTGCCTGTAGTCCCAGCTACTGGGAAGGCTGAAGCATGAGAATTGCTTGAACCTGGGAGGCAGAGCTTGCAATGAGTGGAGATCGTGCCACTGCACTCCAACCTGGGTGACAGAGCGAGACTCCATCTCAAAAAAAA